TCAATTTCACTTGACTTAAGATAAAAGTTCTTTTTTTAGGTGGGTCGTCAAGGCTCCTTTCCACTAACTTCATCGTTTTCTAAGAATGTTAAAATGCTTACAGATCATTAGGTTTAACGCATTCCTCTTCATCGCTTCTAGAATAGAAATTTCAATCATTTGGTATCACGAATCTCTTTTCGAATTGAATCGAAAGCAACGATTCAAGGCATTAAATTTGTTACACCTTTTTCCAGTAAAAATGTATCACGTTTTATTCAATAATTTTTCCGCATTAGTGTAGAACATTTACTCAAAGTTGAGAATGTTACTTTATGAAAACAATGCGTTATTGTTTCCATTACTTTTTTTTGTAAAAAAAATTTGTTAACCCATTATATATATATATTATTAAGTTTAAAAGTAAATAAAATATTACACTATTTTTTATTAAATATAAATATTTCAAACACACACGCACACACACATTTAAATATAGAAATTTTTATATTGATAAATATTTTGTATTTACGTCTTATTGTTAGACTGCATTTTGATAGTCACTATCAATAAATTAAAAATCTGTAGTATGTAATGTAAACTACATAAATTTACAGTGAATATGGAAACGTACCCTTTAATAATGACATTAATGTCATTATTAAAGAATGAATTCCCATATTCACTGAAAATTTATAATTCATAACATATACATATAATACAGATTTTCAATATTGACAGTGATTATCACATATTAACAATAAGACATAATGCAAAGTACAAAATATTGTTCAATATTTAAATTTCTATATTTAAATTAAATATTTCCATTCAATCAAAAATAATACGATCTATCAATACTTTGAATGTCACATCTCTCAATTCTAGGAAATGCACAACTTTCCGCAAAGACCCCATCTTCCATTTTTGGGAGACAATCTGAGGTGTATTTTTATTATCCAACTAAAAGCGATCGCGGCTAAGACTATCTTCGTCTTCAAGGATCGGAAGACGAAGATAGTTTCACCATAGTTGCTTCTGATTGAACGAAAATGCACTCCTT